TTGAAATGACAGATGGAATTTTAGCCTTCTTATTTACTGTTGTATGTTTTGCATCTTCAGCTTTTCTTGTGCCTTTCTTCACTGCATTTTTCTTTACTGATGCTTTACTTGTTTCCTTCTTTTGTTTTGCTGGTAGTTTCCAATCATTTTGAATGTGTTTTTGCTCTGGTTGTTCATGTATGGGTGGTGTAGTTGGGGGAGTCAAATCTACAAGATATTTTAGAATTTAATGATACAGCTGTTACACAAACAAATTTAGATCTGAATGAACCAAACTTTAAAATTTTTACAAAGCTTTTCGAGCAGCTTCTTAAGTACTAGTTTACCTGTTGCATTCACATGTGAGTTTATCTTTACACTAAGAGGCTCACACAAACTTTCTGAACGTCTAAAAATAGAACACTTTTAAAAACGTAAAATCTTTAACATTGAGTAAAAATAAAAGTTAACAATTAATCTGATCTTTGCTTCTCTTTAGATCTCAGTAACTCTAACCATTAATGCCCAACACTAAACTATTTTGAAGGGTAAAATTATCTGGCTCATCTGTTTAGTACCTATGCAAGCACTTTTAATAATAGAAATGATGTCTAGTGAACAATTGGTATAAATAGAAATTGGAAATTTTTTATCCCTCTGCTGTTACATAAAAAAATAATAATTGTGTAATATAATTGTGTACATACTAAATAGATGGCCCCTTGCCCAACCTCGCAAGCAAGGGCCTCCACACCCGCGGTGGGATGGAGACCCTTGTAAAAGCTGGTCACGTGACCACCCAGATTCTGGGAGGTAAATCAAATTATACTGAGAGAGGGGTGGTTGAGGAGCGGGTTTGTAAATTTCTCATTTCTCCACCCGCCGCGGGTGTGGAGGCCCTTGCTTGCGAGGTTGCCCCTTGCCATCTTCGATTGTATAGTCTGTGACGCTCAATAAACCAAAAGCAATTGTCTTACCCTGGTGAGGTTGCTGGAGTCAAGATGCTGGTTGAATTACCAATTGCTAAAAACAAAAACATCTATAAGGTGTTTGCACTGAGTTGAGTGGCAGCACTCTCCCCTGATAAGTTACAGACAGAATAAAATAATAAAGTAGGGTGCAGGCCTCGAATTTCCCTGAAATCAATCAACGGCAATGGTGCTAAAAATTGCCGTAGAACATAACAGCTGTCTACAGCAATTTTGGCAGTTTCCACGGCATTTTTCAAATTACTGTAAAAAACTTTAATTTTATTGTTACTTTGGTTTTTGACAAGCTAGAAACATGTCTACGTATTTCTTCAGTGTTTTTTTTTTGAAAAGAAAACTGAGACTAAAACGCATTATTTGATC